GTTATTTTTCTGCGCTTGACTGCAGAACCCTATAAAAATGCTCTTTATCGTCCTCACTTCTATCATCGGTGGGCAGAGATCAGTGAAAGACGTCCATTAAAATCTCCTTCATTGTCCCAAAGAATGATTTGATGATCCTGAGTCCATGATAATCCGATCATATAGGCGCATTTTGTTCTTCTTTGTACAGCATCTTTGCGACTCCTTGTGTGCGCAAAACACTCTCTTCCTCATAGCCGGAGTACAATGGTATCTCTCCTAAAATAAGTCTTTTTTGTCGATACTGTAATAAATGGTTTCATTTATTTCAAGTACCTCCTAATTATAAATTCTCATTTCTGAACAACTTGAGTAGATCTTTCAATCTCATACATCGTGAAAACATTCCATGTAGCCATAATAATTTTTACTTTGGTTGTCAGAACGGATATCAGCCTCTCGAATTTTGAGGAATGTTGTTATTCATCATGAAATGTCATAAAGCCTCACAGGAAGGAGTTCGAAAGTTTGAACGATGTTTCTGGTTGGCGTTTTTTCAGCAAGGTTGACTTTTAAGGGACGGGATTATCAGCCATCTCCCCATTATTCCTACTTTATTACGTAGTTGGGCCTAGAAGCAGCTCCAAGAGGGCTTCGATCTAGTTTGAGATTTCCTCTACAACCTGATATATGTAAGCAGATGTATTACAAACTAGATTCTGTTGCTAGGTGGTATAACGATAATGTGGAAAGAGAATGGGAATGCCCTTTAATCAGGCTTCCATCAGTTTGTCAACTCTGATGATTTTCCATCATGATTTGTGTAAACATTGTCACGTTGATACACAGTTCCTTTCCTGTTAGCAGACATCATCAAGGTGTCGGCTGTTTAGAATTATCCGGGCACAGGTTCGTCTGTTTCATGGCATTCATAGACTATCCAATGTCGCGGCGTAACTCCATACATTGTCGAGGTGATTCACATATTTTTCAAGAAATCATAATCGGCTATTGACAAGCTTGGATACAGTAATTTCAACATTGTCACCCACGATGTTGCGATTTCACAGTAAAACCAGTATAACAACATAGGTCTCTTATGAGACATTTACGGCTGAAGGATAAGCTTTCGGCTTTCTGTAAACTTATCCTGACGTGAAATCGACAGACAGATAATGGAAAATCATAAAAGTTTTTGGTCAAACTAAACTTCAAATTAAGCGCTTGAAGAAGCTGAATCAAGTTATTTTACTGGGAATGTGCCTGACATGTAGATGATGCTGAGCGTAGATATCTCTCGTCTCTTTTTATCAGACCGACCTTGAGGATTAACTTGTCATACGTACTGGTTAAAGGGGTTTTACATCGCCGAAGTAGGTGCCCTTTATTGAAAATCGAGTACAAACTGTTCATGATGCACAACAGATTGATGCTGCTTTGTTGTACCTGACCGCAATGTAGATCAGCTAACTGACATTCATCGACTCGCCCTCTGGATGAATTAGCTAGCTTTCATTGCGATTTTGATATCTCTATAGGATTTTGTTCACCAAATGAGCGGATTCAGCAGTCATCTTGTTTGGTAGGATCCCGAATATAAAAAAACATTTCCAGGCTTCTCAGCATATATTTATATATTACGACGATGGAACAAGTCTTCGATTTAGGCAAATCAGATCCTGAAGATAGTCGTACTGAAAGGAGACAGGCCTGAAGAAGTGAGTTCATTACTCTGGCTGAACAGCTCCAAATTTCTGATTTACATAGTGACTGAAATATTTGACCGAGGGCAAATAATAATAATTATTGAAAATAATAGGAAGCACCAAAACAACAATGATGGGGCACGACTCACTGAATTTGTACTGGCTGAAACCTGAAGACTAATGTTGAAGCTTGTTAAGGAATGTAAGTACTCACACACCCAGACAAAGAAAGTTAACAAGCAAACAAATGTTTAACAGTAAGCGATAAAATAATGACATTCAACTCGGAAAGGAACATCAATTATGAGAGTTTTTGTTAGTAGTAAGTTATAAATGCAATACAACTATATGTTAAAGCTCCCTTGGCTCGCATTATAAACTGCCAATTCTCGGCACGTATTTGAATTAAGTGTGCTAGATGGCTGGGGCACCGTCAACATGTTTGTGTCTATCTGATTCCCCCTCAGAGTGGTTGAATAAACTTTTGTACCGTGATAGTCTTCACAGAGATTTGAACTCTACTTTAGAATTTGATAAACGTAGTAATTCCAAGACATTTACCTAAAACAAATTCTTATATTAGGTAAAGTTTGTTACAGTGGTACTCGAGAACTTGACTATCCAATTCTCAATGATGGCTTCAGCTATGAAATAGAGACAACTAAATCATTCCCTCTACCCCCTGAATTAATTGAAAAATTTTCTAGTACATTCCATTTCGTAATATTAATTATATTATAGCCATGCAAACGAACTGTTTAATGGGGGTTTTCACTCTATGCGAAAAAGCTTGGGTTACAATTGATAATGAAATATTCTTGTGGAACTATGAGGATGGGTTTGTACAATACATGTTTAATTCATATTTACATTCAGAGAGGATTTGGCTTATTATGATGGAGTAAATGACACTATTATATCTGTGTCGCTAATAGTCCCCTCTGCCGGTAAGTCTCTAAAGTGTCTTGTGTTTTTAAATGCAGCTGTTTCATTTGATCGTTCGGTGTCGTACAGTGCATAAAAAACATTTTTTGGTGAAAAATTGTATTCTATCAGTTAACACGTGAATTAGAGAAAATATTTGTCGATTTTGAAAACTACAGGGTTTCAATAACACTTCTTACTTGTGGCTTTGCTTAATACCTAATTCGAAACAGACATCAGAATAATCTCGTGAAATCAGACTGTGCCGAGCTTGTAAACAGCGCTTTAAATGTATTGCTTATCTTACCGTAAAATAAGAAATTATCCATATATAATCGTGTTGTGTAAAATTATGGCTAACCTTACTGTTTCTTCATTTCAACGTTCTACACCGACCGGAATGTTTTGGTTGATAAATAATATTTTCAATAAACTCAATTTTTCGAAAAATGACTACATTTTGAATGCCGATTCCTACTTAGCTGCTTCGAAAATATTCATCACTTGTATGTTAATGTAAAAATGTGTAATAAGTTTTCAAAAAAAATTGTTCTTATAACTGTTTCTGAAAGTAGAATTACCCAATTACCCTGAGATGAATTCTCTTTCGAAATCCTTTACATAATTTGTTGTACGTGAATAATATCTTACCAGTTAAGGGGACTAAGACAATTTAATCTCGGGAGTTGTTGATCTGTCTACAATATTTTTAATATTCAAGGTTGTAGGTCACTTAACCAGCATTGATATTAACTATAAAATCCCAACTTAAAAGTAAGTCTACCTCAGCTATGAACTTTCATGACTGAAATTGACTGGTCATGGTCCTTATGTCTAGTTACTTTCTGCTATGTTCGATAAGAAAAGTGATCATGTGATAACTAGTGCAAACTTTTGGGCCACTTCAGTTAGTATTTCTAGTGAAGGCACGCGTAGAATTCTTGAATAACATCGAAAAGTGTCATAAACTTGCACTGTCAGATTTAATGCGATGTAACCACAAAGCGATTTCATCCTAGTATTTACCGTAGCTAACTCGTTCCCATTTTCAACTAGTTAATTATATCAATGTAGCTGGTAGATTCAACATGTAAATCTTGTGTATCAACCAAACAAAAGGGTATTCTAGTGTTCCTACTTTAAAAATCAACTGTTTCCAACTGATACCAACCATAACAATATTAACTAACCTAATAATCACCAACCTTAAACTCTCAGATGAAATAAAACTGATTAAGAATCGCTTCGAATGTTACGTCAGTTACCCCTCATTTAAAATCGTTTGTTGTAAGCTCAACAAAATCATTCATAACAATGTAACATCAAATTGTCTCATTAAAAAACCCTTTTGTTGTGCATAGAATAATTGTAAAAGTTTTACATTCTAAAATTAAAATTAATACGACAGTTGTGGTGTTCAACTGTCAGTCATCAGGTACCGACGCACGCGTTTTCAGTCAAATTTATGTTATCAATCATTTTGAGTATTTTATTTACATACTTCATCAATTTAATTACAGGTGTATTACCAGAACATATTAGATTCTTATTATGTCTAGCAACTCCTTCAGAAATTTGGCTTCTTGGTATGATGTACTCAACTATGAATAGTAATCATACACTCAGAATACAATCTTCTCGACCTATTCTAGAAGTGATGCCAGATCCTTTATATTGTTTATCTACTGAAAATAATTATATTTCTTGTATAGAAGGTACACTGAATGGCAGGTAATGTGAGGCATTTATGTTAAAATGATTGTTTCATTCTCTGTTGACTTAATTTATCCGTTTTTCTTGTAGAGTTGTATCGATATTAATTGACTGTATATAAAGTACTAGATTTTTTAATCATTTTGTAAGTTTAAAATTCACCTATGTAACTCTGAGAGATTATAGTCTCCGTCGATTATCTATTTACCAATTACGGGTTTGCTTAATTTGCTTTGTACTACTCTCTTAGTGTAGGGACTAGTGATACTTTGAAATTTAGATAAGTGATTTAGGTTGAATTGGGTTGGAACTTACGCCGTAGTAGATGATGAATGGCAAACATCTTAACCGTTAAAACATTCAGTCAGTCAGTCAGTTGCAACGTAGAACTTCGTACGTATGTACACAAGTTCATGTTGCTATACCACATGAGCACAGAGACGCAAATGTCAAATCAAATCACATAGGGATAAATATAGTAGGGGCATTAATGGTAATGAAGAAGACTAGGGTTCGAAGATATTATTCAAGAAGTATAATTCAGTGAGATAAGGTTAGAAAGACAAAGGTAGAGATGCTGACGAATCCAGAAGATTAGGATTTGAGAGAACACAAAGAATGGATGCACCTGTTGTGCCATCGCAAGCGATTTTGAGCCATGTCGTTCAAGGTCTCTTACCATTGGTGACTTTCGTCTCGCGGACCCCAACCAGGAAGCCTACATCTACCAACATGACTCAGTCTAGTTGTCAGTGACTTCATGGATTTGTGCCATGTTTTGCTTTGGCCGACCCTAGCTTTCTCTCAATCTACTACACCACAAAACATAGCTTGTCGTGGCAGTCGGTGGTTAGCCATAAGTAACACATGTCCCAACCACCTCAACTGATGAAGTTTCACTACTTCATCTATTAATGTGCCATC